TTTTGAACGCTTTGTTGCCCTGCTATGAAGGGAAGAAGCAAGAAAAAGCAAGCAGATTGTGGGCACATATCCAGACTATCTACTCAGAGTTGGGTGTCCCAGCCAGTGAGCAATTGCCCAAACTCACTCTGCTTGCCATTGTAAAGCCTGGGAAGGCCCCTGAACTTGACACTAAAGCAGCGACATGCAGGTATTTCTGCAGGCAGGGGATTTTGAGCACTTTGACAAGCGCACACAATTTTGACACAGGCACCAGCCTGCAAAAGGCAATCCACAAAGTTGCCACCTTCACCACCCAAGTCTATCAGCACATGGAAGCTTTCAATGGCAGGAAGCTGGCCAAATATGGAAGGGCATTGAAGAGCCAGTACATGGCATTGGAATCTCACATTCAAAGAGAAGATGAAAATGATGTTTGTTCCTGGCATGCCAAGCCTAAGTGGCACTTGGCTGAGCATATTTTTGATTTAGCCTGGGAAGGCCACAACCCTAAGGATTTCTGGAATTATAGGGATGAAACATTTGCATCCTCCATGCAGCAGTGGGCACTCAGAAGGGGTGGGAAGAGAAATGCAAGCAGTGAAGCAGAGAAAATCCTCCTTTGTTTCATGAATGACACACCCCCTCTGAGTGTCAACTTGCCCAGCTCAGCCTGAAGAAGGCCCAAATCCGATGTCCAGCTTCAGCCTGAAAGAAGGCCATGCAACCATAGGTACAATATGTTTCACCTTGTATCACCCAGTAGTGCCAAGGAAAAAGATGCACATGCTGATTTGCAGAAGCCACTTTTTGTAGCTTCTAGAGTTCAAAACCCAGAAGCCACTTTCCATGGCTGCCAGCCTAAAATCTTAGCTTCCACCAGAAGCTATTTTTAAAAGTGGCTTCTCGGATCCTTAGGGTGGTCGCACAGGAGCATGTCGAGAAGGAGCCATAGGCAGGTCTACCGTGGACCGTTGGTCATTGAAACCGTTGATACCTTTGCAACTCCCGCTGAGCTTGAAGATGATCTTGCTCCCGCGGACGACGAAGCTGAACTAGCAGAGTCGAGAGATGCTAGGTTGAAGCGTGAGGCAAAGAGCCTAGACCACATCACGACCCACGCGAAGAAGAATCCTTTTTGTGAACATTGCGTGCGTGGTCGAATGTTGAAAAGATATGCCCACGGGGTTCGACCTGAGCCTAGCGATGAAGCGTACGAGCGATCGGCTGCTTTTGGCCGTGTGCTCGAAGCCGACCATATGTTTCCATCGGAGGAAAGCGTGAGCAACGCTGGAGAGAAGGTGGCACTGGTGATCGTTGATCTCTTTTCCGGTCTGAGCATGGCCTATCCGGCCAGAGACAGAACAGAAGAGTCCTGTTACAACTCACTTAAACACTTCGGTGGCCATAGGCTGAACGAGGATACTGGTGTCATTTTTAAATCAGATGCAGCCGGTGAGTTGACAGGAGCGGTATCCAGATTGTGCTGGACAGTGTCGCCGAGCATCCCCAGGGATTGGCCTCACGCGGCCCACGTCGAGCGTGAAGTGAGGGCGTTGAAAGAGTTGTGCAGACCCGCGCATCTCCAGGCCGGCTTCAGCAAGAAGATGTGGCCGATCTCCGTTGTTTATACCGCGAAAGCTCGTGCCTTTTGGTCGCCTTGTGTGATTCGCAAGCATGAGCGTGGGACGGAGATTGAGGAACTCAAGACTGGTAAAACCCGTTGGGAGGTTTGCACAGGTGAGCCCTTCCTTGGAGTGAAGTACCCTCTTGGCGCACTTGTTTTCTACAGGGCCAAGAGCGATGGAATGGCCGCTCCAACTACAAGACCAGGTTTGTTTGCAGGTTGGCGTGTCGACTCGGGCTTGCGATATCGCAACGTCGTGCAAGTTGTTGACTATGAAGCTGTTCGCACAAGAGCACATTTGCATTGGAGTCCCAAGGACCTGCATGAGAAGGAGGTGTTTTTCCCTCCTGTTGAACACATTGAGTTTCCCTTATCCAACGCGGCAATGAAAGCGTTGAAGGACATGTCTGACCCTGAAACTGAGGTGAAGAAGAAGATCTATGACAGATCTCTTGAGTCGGGCGTGCTCCCATATGACATTGACATAGATGCTTTTCCGGAAGACACCCCAGTTGCACCCCCGCGTCATGCATACATTACTTTTTCACGTTTGTTGGAGCATGGTTTTACGAAGGGTTGCCCTGGATGTGATGGTGGCCACTACCGCCACAACAAGGCATGTTGCGAGCGATTTGATGCCATCTTCCCTAGAGAAGCTGCAGCGCCGCCCACACCGGCGCCAGATGTCGGAGCACCAAAGACACCTGGACCGCTTCCTATGCCTAAGAGTTCAGAGAAAGCTTCCTCTTCATCCCCTTCCACAGGAGCAGCAGAAGGAAAACATTGGGTTGAGTCGGAGCCAACCGAGGGTCCGGAATACTCCCCTGATGAACTTTGCGAGGGATATGTTCCACCGGAAGATGTTGCAGCTGGGGTATACGCCCTAGTGACAAGACAGCTCACACGGAACGAAGTGTTGTCCCGACCTGATGCACTGCAGGCGATCCGCAAGGAGTTCGATGGTGTTGGCTCCATGGGAACATGGGAGCTTGAGTCGGTTGATGAGGAGTTCCGCGTGAAGGAGGCTGCATTGCAGAATGGAGAGACTATTCACATCGCAGACTTGCTTGCTATTTGCAGCGAGAAGCATGTTGAGTTGGCCCCAGAGCTTCGTGCTCTGAAGGGTCGCGTGTGTTACCGTGGCGATTCTGCAAAGACGGCTGACGGGAAGCTGGCGCTCTACCAGACGCTAGCTGCGTCTCCTGCTTCAATCGTTGCAGCCAATAGCGTTATTTCTTTTGGTCTTTTCGAGGGACACAAGTTGTCGTCGGCAGACGCCGTCAAGGCGTACCTCCAATCGGAACTGAAAAATTTGGCTGCCACATACATCCGTCTCCCAAGAGAGTTATGGCCTGAATCTTGGTTCACCCCAAGTGGCTACCCTCGTTTCAAAAGGCCAATCATTAGATTGCGCAAATCGCTGTACGGACACCCAGAGGCTGGGGCCCATTGGCAACAGTTTCTGAAGAACAGTTGTGTCTCTTAGGAGCAGTCAAGGTTGAAGAGTTTGCATCCACCTTCACCATCCCTACCTTCGGAGGATTGGCATTGGTTGTCTACGTGGACGACTTGATTCTCTCAGGACCAAGTCAGTGGCACGAGCCTTTCTGGGAGGCGTTGGGTGAAAAGGTGTTGATTGATGACATTGGACCGTTGGGTCGCTTCCTTGGTCGACACCACTCCACTGTCGAGGTTGATAACACAGAGTTCTTTGGCTTTGACATGCGTGCATACGCTGAGGCTACTGTTCAAGAGTATTTGAGGGTTGCAAACAGCCCAAAGATGAAAGTTGTTGCATCACCACTTCTCAGCAAAGGATTCGTGGGAGCAGATGAGCGTGGCGCTCTGGCAGCTTCTGCCAGCAGCATCTTGATGAGACTCATGTGGTTGGCACGCCTTGCTCGTCCCGACCTGCTGAGAGTTGTGACTTGGTTAGCGACCATGGTACAGTCCTGGACGCAAGCTTGTGATGCATACTTGTACCGTGCCATGTGCTACCTCGAATGCACCAAGAACGCTATGTTGCTTGGGCATGTGCGTGATGCGCCGGAGCATGTGTTTGTTGAACTTTTCGCAGACGCAGACTACTGCGGAGACGATGAACACACCCACAGTACCACTGGTGGATGGCTACAGTTGTCTGGCCCGCGGACGTCGTTTCCGTTGGCATGGCTGTCGAAGAAACAGACGGCTACGTGCCGAAGCACGACGGAGGCAGAAACCGTCGCACTGTCGTATGTGCTCTTTGAAGAGGGTTTGCCGTTGGTTGAGTTATATTCCGCAATGCTTGGGCGTCCTGCGTTGTTGAGGCTTCGCGAAGACAACACTGCATGCGCGAAGGTCGTAACAGCTGGATACTCCAAGAAACTGAGGCGTCTCAAACGCGTACATCGCGTGAGTTTGGCTTCGGTGAAGGAACAGTTGGACCGCGACGACGTGGAACTGAGCCTTGTCGGAACAAGCGACCAGAAAGCCGATGCTTTCACAAAAGCAGTCGAGCCTGCGCTATGGCCCAAAACCCTCCAAAACCTTGGAGTGCACCTCGATGGTTACACCATCAAACACACATCAGGCACTGGCCTGAAATTGGACAAGCAAATGGCTTTGCAGCCAGATGCACCAACGACAGATGTAGCGACAGGACCTCAGGGCACGACAGGCCCTACCCAGCCAGGGTACAAGAAACGGTAGAAACACAAGCCGAAGAGAATACCTCCATACAGTGCGCCACAGAGCCTTTCCGACACAGCTGGATAGCCCGGGATTTAGAACTGATCCCAAGCCGTCGAGCAGCTCAGGAGTCAGAGGGGGAGATGAAATCCCTCAGCTAAAACAACCACAAGATGAACTGAGCTTTGAGTGAGGCTTGCATGCTTACATGTATAGTTGATAGGAGGAATCTAGGATCACTTGTCCAAGATTGGAATTGTCATGTAAAGAATTGCATAATCTGAAATCGGTATGCTAAAGTAGCATTGCCGTGTGAACTGTGTGACTGTTCGCCAACTACGTTTGGCTCAAGACTTTGGAAAATTTGCTGCTGACGCGACCGGATACGATCGTTCGCGTTTTGAGTCGGCCTACCAAGAGATAGACCAAGGTTTTAGCTTTCAACTATATATAATTACATCTAATTACGTGATATTACGCGAACAGGGCCTGGCTTGCAGCAGTCAATATTCGGGTGAAGCTTAAAATCAGATGCTTGGTACATCTTGGTACGGGGATCGTGTTTGAAAGGGTTCTGCATTTTGTTGACCGATGCAGCTTTGCATCCAGTGTTGCTCAGCTATCCCTCATGATGAAGGAGCAGTTCACAGCCAGTTCACATCCGTGTGGCGGTTTGAACGTCGCTGTCATTTTTCTTAAGCTGTAGGCTCCGAGCTGTGGCCAGGTCTGAGCCTGCGGAGGAGCCGAATGCAGCCGGAAGAAGCGTGGGGGTGGCACAGATGAAACGACTGTGATGGGGCTCCTCAGAGAAGCCTGTGGCCTGAAAAGACAGGAAAGTTGGAAAACAAAATGTACTGTATAGTTATATGCCAACACATAGGAAAATATAGGTTTGTATGCATCTCCGTGATGACTGTCAGCTGCTGCGTGCCCCATAGCTATTGTACGGCTATGGCTTCGGCTTACTTATGCTGACTTGAATTGACAAAGCTTGGCCCCTTTTGGCCCACAACCATCTTTTGAAACCATATAGAGTTAGCATGAGTTAGCGTCTCCCTTTTCCTCTCCGTGGATTTAGCTCAAGCTGATAACATATCACACTTTGCCTCAAATGTCCTTTTCAGATGTTGCAAGATCTTGATACAACAGGCCAGCAAGGACCAGCAGACAATCGAGGAATCAAGGAAAGAAAACTGGTTGGTGTGTTCAGCTTGCACTCAGGAAGGCATCGCCTCCACAAGCCGATCGTGAACTGCCACGAGCTTGGAATCGATTTAGACAATGACGTGCCAAAGATATCCAAAGCAGAAGATGTAGATTGTCCTGATAGCCTGACAGAGTGCCTGACAGTTGTTCTTTCAGAGCTAAAAAGCCTTAGGTTTGTTCTCTTCACAGTCGAACCTGTGGAACGAGACATCGGTCTGCTCATTCGGGCCCGTTCCGTCTCCGCGTCTCAGCGGGATGAAGCGCATTGGTTGCGACGCTTCCGGTGTTTGATCAATAGTAGGGATGGAACAAAAGCTCTCCCAACCATCCCTGAACAATTGCCCTGCAGAATGCATTCCAAGGTTAGCTGCTGATCTTCCCTGGGTGTCACTTTGGAGGATTTTCATGGCATCGGCCGTGCTGATGTGTGGGGGTCCCGGTGGCCGGGTGGCATCGCTTTGCAACACAGGGGGCCCGCTGCAGTCCTGGCTTCAAGCAACTTCAAAAACGGACACCGTCAATAAGCAAAAATTGTTTCTAATGGCTTCTTGTTCCTAGTAGCACGGCCAGGAGCCCCTAGTAGCGTCCTTGCTCCTAGCGCGATGCCAGGAGCCCCTAGTAGCGTCCTTGTTCCATCAAGCATGGAGCCCTGCCTCGCCTCGATCGATGAGTGAGGCTTGGGCTGTTCAAGCCTCTTTGGCGGACAGGCGCGGGTCGGCAGCCGGGTCGGCCGGACAGCCGGGGGGCGAAGCTGGACTGCTAGGACTCCTTTGAATTCCCGAAAAATGGCAACCCCAGGACCTGAAAAAGCTGGCTTCTTGTGCATGTGTGGCGCAAGAGTAGCCCCCTTCCGGAGTTAGATGCTTGGGGCTCACTTGGCTCACAGACATTGGAGCAGCATAAATAAGATGGCAAGGATGGCAGCGGCGCAACGCGGGTCAGCCAGGCTGAGATGGATCAAGCTTTGCTGCTCTTTCTGGCTTGGTCGATCGTGAGACTTTTCCTCAGACACCATGGGCCATAGGCACAGCCTGAAGAGAGAGAGAGAGAGAGAGAGAGGGAAAAAAAGGGTGAGGGACAGGGAGATGGAGCGAAAGAGAAGAGAAATGAAAAGGAAAAGAGAAGAAGAAAGAGCAAGTGGAAGAGGAGCAGGAAGAACAATTTATGGAGAACATAGAAACTTGGGTGGCAAGGACGCTACTAGGGGCTCCTGGCCGTACTACTAGGAGCAAGGACGCTACTAGGAACATAGAGACAGTTTTGTTTCGATTCTTGTTGGATCTTTCGCATTCATAGTTGGCACGGCCACAATTCAGGTCGTTGTTTGCGTTGCGCGGCAGAATTGACATGTGAATCATCAAACTCTTTGGTTTGTTTTTCCCCAGATAGCGAAGCTATGGGGTTCTTACTTCAAATAACAATGGGTTGCCCGTGCGTGCTTTCGAGACAGGTTGCTGGTGCTGGGTGCCGGTGCTGTGAGCTGGCTGTGCACGTGGTGGGGACAGGTTGCTGGTGCCGGTGCTGGTGCTGGGTGCCGGGTGCGGGTGCTGGTGCCAACTGGCTGTGCACGCGGCACGCGGTGGAGACAGGTTGCTGGTGCTGGTGCCGGGTGCTGGCTGTGCGCGCGGTGGAGACAGGGTGCCGGTGCTGGTGTCTGGTGCTCCCAGCTGGCTGCGCGCGTGGTGGAGACAGGGTGCGGTGCTGGGCGCCGGGCGCCGGTTCGTGCTGTGAGCTGGCTGTGCACGTGGTGGAGACAGGGTGCCGGTGCTGGCGCTGGGTGCTGGCTGTGCGCGTGGTGGAGACAGGGTGCCCGGTGCCGGTGCCCGGGTGCCGGTCTGGGCGGTGGCTGTGCGGCTGGGGGGGAGGATTTTTTGCTCCCCAGATAGCGACATCTACGGGGTTCTTATTACTTCAACTGACAATGAAGTGGCTGTGCTGTGGTGCTGGTGCTGGGTGCTGTGGAAACAGGGTGCCAGTGCTGGGTGCTGGTGCCCGGTGCTGGTGCGGGCTGTGGCGCTGGTGCTGGGTGCTGTGAGCTGGCTGTGCGCGGGGTGGAGACACGGTACTGGTGCTGGGTGCTGGTGCTGGGCGCCGTGAGCTGGCTGGTGTGCCGGTGCTTGGTGCCCACTTCTGACAGTGAAGTGATGACAACCGCCGCTTCTGACAGTAAAGGGTAACAAACCGCCGCTTGCAGCAGTGAAGGGCGACCAAGCGCCGCTTCTGACAATGAAGTGCCAGCAGTCATGGGCCGCATAAGTTCCGCGCAACATCATACGGTGTTGTCGCTTGAGCGTTCTTTGTCTATTGGCGCTGTGGGGTATTTACACTCTTCAGGTTCTGTTTTGGCCGACAGCTGTGTCAAGGGCTGTACTGTTATGACGCTCACCCAGCCACAGCCATATAAGTGGCAAATTGGTTGAAGATCAGGCTTCTTCCAGTTTCATTCATTAGATCAACCATGAGTGCTTGCAATATTTGTTTTCAAAATCAGTTCTCCAAAACACGTGTGTTCAGAGTCACACAGCTGGTGGCTAGCGGCTGGTGGCTGGGCCTCGTTTTCTAGACAGAATTGTTGCTAGCTGCCAACTGCTAAGGATGCAGTGAGTTATGATTTCCAAAACAGATTTTTGGGAAGGGTGGGGTGGACGTGCACTTATTTTTGGACCTACATGTTTGACTTTATTTCCAGCAGACTGGTGGAAATGGACACTTTGACTTTTCCAATTCCACCAGTCACCAACCTCTCTGAATTTCTGCTGGCCTGATTTCGCCTGATTTCCCACAGGCGAATTGGAAAAAATGAATTTTCCTAGGACATATTTGACTTTTTCCCAATCCACCAGTCTGCTAGAAATCAGGCCACCAACCTCTCTGAGTTTTTGGTGGTCTGATTTCGCCTGATTTCCCACAGGGAAGGGGAATTGGACACAGTTGAATTTGACTTTTTCCAATTCCACCAGTCTGCTAGAAATCAGGCCACCAACCTCTCTCGCCTGATTTCCCACAGGGAAGGGGAATTGGAAAAAGTTGAATTTTCCTAGGAAATATTTGACTTTGTCCAATTCCACCAGTCTGCTAGAAATCAGGCCACCAACCTCTCTGAGTTTCTGCTGGCCTGATTTCGCCTGATTTCCCACAGGGAAGGGGAATGGGAAAAAGTTGAATTTTCTTTGGAAAAATATTTTTCCCATTGCATCAGTCTACTAGAAATCAGCTTGGCTGGTGTGCCCAGAGTCTAGTCTAGAGCCTAGGGCCTAGAGACAGGACCAAATGTCTCGAGCTCAAGCTTTGTTTGGGGAGCCCCCAAACCAGCCCGTTGTAGCGTGAACTTTGGAGTGGTGTGTTGGCCATTGGCCACTGGCCTTGAAGTATGTTGTTTTTTGTAGGTGTGGAACAATAGAAATGAGTTGAAAGTCTAGTCAAATCTAGGCAAAGTCAAAGCAGTTCAAGCAAAGAAAAGAAGGCAAGGGCTCGGCTCTGCCAAAATCCCTGTCGGACGATACAGCAGTGGCGGCTGCTTTTTTGGCTGGTCAAATCCACCGTCATATGTCATGACAAGCTCTGCAAGCTGGCCGACAAGTGCTGCTGTAGTGTGGTGCAGTGATGTTGGGACACCTTTAACTTTAACTGTAACTAGACTCTATCTAGGAACCTTGTAGTCTAGAGAGGCTCACGTTTCCTACTGCTGCTGCTGCTGCTGTTGTTTTTTTGGTTCTTTCCTGTTCCAAGTGAGCACACTTTGACAACTCATTTGTGGAAAACACCTAAAAGGGGTTCCATTTGGAACTAATTTTTGAAATGAATTTTTGGCACGTGTGGGCCTGATTTTAGGATTCCAGGCCTGTACCTGAAACGAGCATCACAACTGTACTGTTTGCGCGCATACTTTTGTACGTATAATGTTCTATGCGCAACGTCAGGCTCTCAACCGACAATTGTTTCAGCATGTCTCAGCATGCTACAGACACAATAGTCGTGCTGGATACTGCTTGGCCTTGGGCGAGTGAAGCCTACAGGCTTTGCCGCTTGCGCGCATACTTTTGTGCGCATAATCCTATACGCGCAAGATCATACGGCCATATCGTTCTGCAGATCGTTGCTTCAAGCCTGCTACAAAGTCAATAGTGGCGCTGGATACTGCTTGGCCTTGGGCCAATGACACTTACGGTGATTACTGTTTGCGCGTATACTTTTGTGCGCATAAGCTTATACGCGCAAGATCATACGTTGTTATTCCCCAAATGGGGATAGCTATGGGGTTCTTGCTGCAAACTAGAATGAGCTGGCTGCGCACGCTTTCGAAAGGGTGTCGGTGCTGGTGTTTGTGGTCCTGGGTGCTGGCGCTGTGAGCTGGCCCAGCGCGCGTTTAAGACGGGCGGCGGCGCTGGTCGGGTGCTGGCGCCGCTGCCGGCGTTGTCAGCTGGCAAAGCGCACCGGTGCTGGTGTCAGCTGATTGTGCGCACTGTGGAGGTGCCGTAGCTGGCTATGCAGGCTGCGTACATTCTTGTTCCAGCCAGTCGTATGTCAACAGGTTTCTGCCTAGCTATTTGGGTCTATGCTGGTGTAATTTATAGACCAGATAGCGAATGATGGCGATAGCCATGGGGTTCTTACTGAGATACAGTACTGCCAATAAGAATCAGCAGCTGCCGGTGCTGGGCGCCGGTGCTGTGTACGTGTTGCGAAGACGGGGTGCTGGTGCTGGTGCTGGGTGCTCTGGTGTGGGCTGGCTGTGCGCGTTGTGAAGAGAGGGCGCGGTGCTCGTGCTGGTGCTGGGTATCGGTAGGTAGTGCTGGCTGTGCACGTGGTGGACACAGGGTGTCGGTGCTGGTGCTGCTGCTGTGAGCTGTTCGCACGTGCTGTGGGGACAGGGTGTCGGAGTAGTTGCTGGTTGCTGGTGCTGTGAGCTGGCTGTGCGCGTTGTGAAAAGAGGAGTGCTGGGGGCCGCTAACGTTTCAGTTTTCAGAATAGTTAAGATGAATCAGGACCAGGAGCTGTTCCTTTGTTTATTACGGTACATAGAGGCACATCGCGGGTTGCACCATTGCCAAGTTTGCTCGCTGTTCTCGTAGCTTTGATGCCTGCCCATTTGTGAGGGTAGCTGAGAGCAGTTCCGCCAGAAATCATGTCCCCCATCCACCCAGATGAAAGAAATCAAAGTACGGGGTAATACATTTGTCAATGTTTTTCGTTCCATCCACCCAGAGCTCTTCCAAGTCCGACTTGGACCGATCTGTTCTGCTTCGATCGAGAAGGCGAGGATGGTGGGCCGCAAGAAGGCGGGATGGGGTTTATTTTTGCGTACGATCCGCGTGGGTCCCACGCACCCGTGGACTGTGCGCGTTGGGGATACAAGGTGCTGGTGGGGGCGGTGCCGGTGGGGTTGGGAAAGTGTAGGGGTGTGATGTTGACGTTAGCTTTCCAGTTGCACTATCATTCTGGTTCAGCAGCTTGCGCGTGATGCTTGTGAAACCTCGGAGCTGTACTGTGCGCACATGTGCGCACACATGTTTTGGCACGTGATGGTGCATGTATATTGTATTATATTCATTGAGCTCGCAGGAGGTGCGCATTTTGATTTTCCATTTTGCAGCCACTTGCAGCCACTGCAAGTGATTGCTACGTCTGTCCGGAGAATATCATTATTTCTCCGCACGCAGTTCTGAAGAAAGCCAAGATTTCTGCCATGCTGTTCTGCGAAGAAATTCTGGTTTTCTCCCGAGCTGCGTGCGGAGAAATCATGAAATAATCCAAGACTTTTCCGATAATAAATTGATTCTAAACTTCTGCAGAGCTAGCGACGAACATAAAGAACTCAAAGTACAGTGTTGAAGTTTACTTGCTTGAGTGACAAGTTGCTGCAAGTGGCTGCCAAGTGGCTGCCTGCCTGAGCAAGTGGCTGCAAGTGACTGCAAAACCAAAAATACAAATGTACGTCATTTGCTCGCTCTCTGATATATGATATATGTGTGTTCCTGTTGCTCCGGTTGTGCGTTTACTTTTTGTATTCATCTACTTTTACAATATCTTACACGCACTCTCTATTGTTTCATCGGGGCAACGCCCATATCCAGAACAACATGTTTTATTGTGTGCGTTTCGAAACGTGAGTCTCCCCACGACTTGTTTACCTGTTTGATTGGCGTTTTGTTGGCCTTCCCGCGGTCACTGGAAGCTCTCGTGTTTTTTGTTACTTAATTACGTACTTGATACTTTGTCTCATGCGCTTCTGTATTTAGAATTAGTTAGTTGCTAGTTGAGGTCTATTCTGGTGTAAGTTGTTTTTTTGTGGAATGATTTTCGTATCTAAAAGCACAATATCACAGAATAGTTGTAGTTGTCGCAGGGTTGACGAGGCTCCTTGCAGGTCACCATTTTTTGATATCCATCCCTTTGAAACCATCGAGATGGAAGACGGTTGGAATGTGGAGCCGCCAATTCGAGAAAGACTTCCAACATGTTACGGGCGGAATGCACTACGTTGCCAGGGGCCTCGGAGATTCCTCACTTTGGCATTTTTGGAAAGGCGCCCCAGTCTATATTGCAATATCCAGTCACAGCCCTGTGCAGCACGGCTGCCATTGAACACTAACTACAGCCCTACGGCATAAACAAGAGTGATCCTGCAAGTTTGCGTGTCATATTGGAAATGATTTGATGGTGATTGATGCGCTTGCGATTGCACGATATGTTGATCAGTTATATAGATCCATTCAATCCCCCGTGGTTGATAGCCACCAGGCAGCCTGATAAGTGCTGAGGAGCGTGGGTGCATGATAACAGTGTACAGGTGATGAGGCTTACTCATGTCCGCACAATGGCATTGTCCGCTCCAAATGAAGATCAGTGGAAATCGAAGCATCCTTGACTTGGCGGGTTCATTTTTCGGGTGTGTGCGCGTGTTTCAATCATACAGGTCAAGGCCAGTGAGTCTTCTGAGTCAAAAGACTGAGAATGCGGTTGACCATGGAGTTGTAGGACGAGAGGATGAGTAGGGGTTGGCTCCTATGTTTGAGGCTGTTGGATGTGTATGGCCATTCCGCTCGGAGGACACACATACTCGAAGCTCCTTTAGCCATGTCTTGCGCCCCCACACGCTACGTAGAAGGTTTGCGGATGACGCGCTATAAATTTGAGTTGTGTGTTGTTGCATTCCTTTCACTCGGGATGGTAAAGTAAGACAATATATTGTTACAATTGTTGCCGGTGCAGCCCCATGAGCGAAAGACGTGGAGGGACACGGAGCCAGATCAACAATCCAAAGTGTTATTGTACTGCTGGCTTAGCTGCAAAGACTTGCCTGAGTCCAGCCGTCGTACGTCCTATAGGCACTTTAAATCATTTAACGTCCAGCAATTAATTGCATGTGGCGATGGCGTTTCTTTTGAGTTTGATTGGAGGTCATAATTTGGGTGCTGCATTCCCAGGTCCATGGACAACCTTGAACATATTACTTGTGCAAGCCAAAGAGCTGATGACTACTTATGACCATGAACATGACCTCCAATGCAGTGGGTCTTACTCTGGGACATCTTGGAAGAATGTCGCGACCTCAGCAATTGCTGCGCATGTTTTTGACTCAACCTGCAATGTATTTCCTGCTTGTACTTAAGTCTTTTCTTTCCAGCAAGATGCATCAAAAATCATCTAAGAATAGCAAGGGCAAGACTACTGCAGATGGACGGATGATTCAAACCCTTCCAAACCACCTTGACCCCTTCCACCGCAAAAACTCAATGTTAGCAAGCCTGCCAGTTTGCCAGAGTGTGTGGGCGAATGGACCAAACAAATCAAATCCTGGTAACACAAATTGAAAATATCGCGCTCAACATTCAACTTTGGGGATAAGGGTTCGTGACAGTTACTGACTCAGGGGTTTGAATATTTTGTAAATTCACTGCTACGTAGGAGGGTCCTTCAATTTCGCGCGCAGGTGCTTTCAGATCTGAAAGCCATAGCGGCTTTGATATTTCCTTGGCATTTGTCGGTGTGGAAGCCTTCGTGTACTATAGAAACCTCATAGTCTCATAGTGACCACAGAACATGCGCTGCTACTCCTAGCTGGGTTCACCTGCCAGTGTAGCTGTTGTCGTGTTTGGCGTGCTTTCCAGACCGCAGGGTGAGGCAATCAAATACAAGGTGTGGGCCTGGTGGAAACAAAACGGTTCAGAGTGGCTTGTGGTCATCCACGTGGCATTTGTCCTTCAGGGTTTCCTCTTCTTGAGCAGGATTCTTGCCGTGTGTGAGGTGTGTATGCCAACTTGAAAGTATGAGCATGTCCAAGGCACATCACACATTTTGTATTGGGGTGGTCATTGGCATTGGACGACCAAGACACTATATACATACAAAGCAGTCAATTAACTTGGAGCCTTGAGAGTTAGTGTGCTCCCCTTCCCCCGACCCTTTTTGAGTCTGAGTCTAACCTGAGGCCTCCTGAAGCTGCCAAAGAGAGCAGATGAATTGCAGCTGTCCGTAGTTGTTCGGCAAGTCCCGCCAGCTGTTGTCTACTGCGCAGTTGCCGGAAAGCAGTCGACCTCCGAAAAGCTACAGTCAGCACTCAGCACCGTTGTTGTTTCAGTGTTTACTGCTGCACTTCCGGAGCATGGTCTTGCAGACAGGCCAACCAACGACTGAAACATGTCCTCAAAACAGAAATCGAAAGATATCGGTAACAATCAAGATTGTGTTTCCTCCATGCATATGTTGCAATTCTCGATTTTCCTTGCTCCAATCCGACCTCCTGGATTTGGATGATGAGGTGAAGCAGGCTTCAAGCTCCAGACTCCACATCGTGAGAAACTCTTGCACCGGCTGTGAATGAAACAATGTTTGCTGATGCTTGCTGAAGGTAGTTTCATCTCTGGAGCTTGAGTTTGCTGTGGGGTTGTGGAAGCCACTAGGTCAGCTTGCACAGACAGCGATGCCTTCGCCGCGGATTGCGAATTGTCTAGTTAGGGACCGGGTGACAACCACTTTGTCCCGCTGAGGCATGCTGAGATCCAGGAAAGTCAGTGATCCTGACTTCTCCCCCGCTATTTCTACAGTGATTTCAGTGTTTTGCCTGTTGACAAGGCCCGGCATGCACTTTGTCTTTTGCTGATGGCCTTGTCACAGGGCGGCACAAACAGTGCCATACCCGCTCGTGGCTGCTGAGTTCTGTCGTGATACGACAGATCAGTGGACATCGGGCTTCGATCGCAGCGCCAAGACCTTGTGGACTCTTTTTAGGCGAAAGTACGCGGAACGCTGGGCTGGATCTTCTTCAGCGGTCAACTCCCAGGACTCTTTATGGTTGCCCCACAGAAGCTTGAGATGGCCCTCCTTGCCCTGATCTCCAAGATTCTGATTGAGGGTCTAGAGTGACACCGACGCCCGTTACAAACAAAACTCGCTACTGCTGAGCTAGTGACTGCACGTACAGAGAGAGAGAGAGTCATTTCAGACCGATTTGAGATCCAAAAATGGGAGAAGAGACGTAGAAAGCCTGTGCTTTCAAATTCCCTTGCTTGCACCATTGCAGAATACGCCATTGGTAGTTTTTATGTTCACCCACAACAATAAGTGCAAATGCATAAGAAGCTGAAGCAGGCTTTTACTACTTAGTATACTATAGTAGTCCCTAACACTTAAAGTACTATTATAGTACTTAGGTTTCACAGCCGCCCGGAACTTCACTGAACATTTTGCCGCACCCCCCTTGAGCTAAGTTTGGAGCGAGCCCTGATTGTGGCGAACTCAGCCCTAGAGCACTTCCTGCTGCAATTGAAAGATCAGCACGCGCCACGTCCGACCTCGGAAGTTGAATCACAACAGCTGCATGTTCATCTGATTTGATGAGAATAAGTTATGACTCGAACTTGGCTGAGACTCTTAATTGGTCCAAAGGCAGATCGCTTCTCGTTTGCCAATTGCTGGCTGAGATGCGACTGAAGTCTGGGAGGAAGTTCCTTGACGACAATGTGGGCGGCTTGGTGTGTTGAGGACATTTGGAGGTAAGCAAGTCTCCCGGCTTTGTGAACTGGATAGCTTCGAAGTGAAGATGTGGACATATGTGGACTTCTGTCTTCTCGAGGCTATGGTGGCATTTTCGGGGAAGGTCTTGGTGCGCCCAGACACAAGCCAAAACAACCGCAGCCTTCGTCTTTCTTCGCTTCATGTAGTGAGTAGACGGTCGACCAGTTTTCGCCTTTTGAGACTCGTGAGGCGCAGTTTTCCGCTGACGGTGCTGTTGTGAATGGTGTCTCCCACGACGATCTCTATGCCTTGTGGTGCCGAATTGTTTGCCCGGCATGGTTTACGGTGTCTCAAGAAGTATGGAGGCCGCTTCGGGTTCTTGCTGCGGTTTTTTGCTGGTTCCGCCCAGTGTCGTGGACCCTTTTTTGTAGACCAAAAGGCTTCAAGAATCGTAGAATTCGATGGAACTACTGTTGAATTTGCCAAGGTTGCACCACTTGTTAATAACTTGGGGCGCATGACACTGGTGCTTGCAGAATGCCCTCTCATGGCCATGAGTTTAGTTTCTCACCTAATGCATGGCATGGAGGGCCATTGGAGGCCTGTTACTTGCATGGATCGAGGATGCAGATCAATCTGGACGGGTGTCCTACCTGGAGTGGACGCCGGTGTCCCAGGTGTTTTTATGGCATATATATATATATTCGCATTGAAATTCCCCTCACTCCTTGCGCCTTCACCCTGCTAAGGCTCGGAATGTACCGACTGCGTCTTGCAACATGGCCTTTGCTTTCAGATCTTCAGCAGGGTGAGGTGGGCACTTTGAGCTACAAATGTTGCTTGTACCAGTTCTATTCCTCAGACAGCCTAGAAACTGTCAGGTGGTGGACAAGATCAGTGCCGCCGCCTCCAAAAAGATCGGAAACAATTCCTGCTGGTATAAGGTCAGCTCTGAGCGAAACGGAGCGAAACAGCAGATGGTTCTTGAACAGAAAGCCTTCTCACACTCAGACATTGTTTTTGGGATTGCTGCCAGCCACCATCAGCCACCATAGGTCTTCAAGCTGGTGGACGTGGATCGTTCTGGGTCGATTGGCAAGACTCCCAGCTGAGCGAATCGATTCGCAACTGCATCTTGCATCACTGGTGCGCATACAATACCCAGACACTACATGGGACTGGAATATATGACAACTTATATGACATTATATATAAATATAGATTTATGTGAATAATATGCCTACATTGAGACCACAAATCACCCCGATGTAGGGAAACACGTCATACATGGAGTGCTTGGGAGAGATTAGAGTGTATGTGGTGAGATTGGTTTTTCCGTAGATCCACCCAGCACCGTTTGCAATGTTTTTTTTCTCACCCACCGTGTGTTTCTGTCCTGTTTGGCAAGGTTACGACGAGTTCTTCAAAATCATCAGACGTCCGGAGCCCAGCGTCCTTGATTGCAGCGTCCGAACGCTCCGTTCGTAGCGATGCCCTTTGTTACGTTCGTAGCGTCCTTGTTCCTAGTAGTAATGCCAGGGGCCTACTAGTAGCGTCCTTGTTCCTATTTCTGGTTTGATTCTTACTTGCGCAGCATTTGCACGCATTTGCCCGGTGTTCTTTTATATATAATTGAGCAGCGTCAAACACCTCCCACAAACAGTTCAAGCAAACTTGTAAACTCTAACTTTCCCGCGGAAGCCAAAACTGCAGTCGTGGAAGCTTGCGGAAGCCACCGCGCAAGTATATGGTAAAATTCACCATCGCTGAAGCTTTGCGGAAGTGCACATGTTACTTTCTTGAATCTTCTTGACAATAACAAATGCCTCTATACTTTAAGGAGATTTGTCTAATACTAACCTATGAGCACTTTTGAGAAATACGTCGCGGAAGCGCCGCGGAAGAGGATTTCAACCAACATGGCCCGCGGAAGCCAAAACACAGGTCGCGGAAGCTTCGCGCAAGCATTGGCGGAAGCAAGTCATGAGTATAACAGATCGCAGACCGGTTTTTGACACCGCTCAATTATTATTGTGAGTCCAAAAAAAAGGGCATCTCCCCGCTGTGAAACGAAAGACACGCAACAACATGGTTGCACACGTTTGGCTCAAGGCTCAAGAAAAAGACAGAGCGGCACGGCTCGCATGGGTTATGAGCCCAAGGTAGAAAGACCACCCTAGCAAAGCTAGGTTGCTGGCCGCCATGGATTTGAGAAGAAGGCGCTCGCAATCCAAAGGGCGAGAGCCGACAGCAGATGAAAGGTTGGACGCTTTGCTAGAAGAAGCCAGAGCATCCGGGACTCCAAAAGAACCCGTTCGGCGAGCACAAAGCCTAGAGCCTAGTCGGATGTTGACGCCCTCGTTGAGGAAGACCTCATCGGCGTTGACCGCTGGTGCCTCGAGAGAACGACCTGCACCTGAAGAAGTTCGAGCGATCGAGAATCGAGAACGTGAAGTCCCTACAGAACCTCAAGGGCAGCCGATGAGCTTCTGGCCGGTGGTTCCTCCTCTTCCTACTGGGGCACTACCTCCTTTCGTACCTGGACACCATGTTGGCGGACAAGTCGGAGGGCACGAAGGTGGTGGTGGGGCACCGAGCTTGCTGCAGCCAGCCCAGGAGCAAGCCTGGGGGATGTTGGCGGGCCTGGGAACGCCTCTGCCGGGGACGTGGGGAGAAAGGGGAAGCCAATCACAAATGCCGATCTTGCCGGGGCCACGAGAAGCTGGTGGGCCTATGAAGGGAACCACTAGGGATGCAGAACAGATATCTAGCGGTCGACTAGCGGGACAAGATCATCTACCAGAACGAACGGTTGGTGAAGATATGAAGGGTTCCGTGAAGAGTTCACCGGTGAATCCATGGACGGCTGAGAAACTTCGTGAACTACATGACCAAGCCCAAGGCAGTCGTGGAGTACCTGATCCCGTGGAACTACTTCGTGCTAAATGTCTTCAAGAAGCGGAGGTTAGGTTTCAAGAAGAAATGCAAAAGTTGGGTCAGCCGAGCTCGAACTCGTCTTTCCAGTCCGCAGTGGAAGCTCCTGGAGGTAAAGTTCAAGGTGGTGGAGAAGGGCAGACCACGAAACAGGTGACGGCGCCGATCGTGAATGTGGGACCTATGGCTCCGGGTGCAACACCTGTGGCCTACCCATGGCCTTATCCTCCTGGTCTACCTGGACAACTTCCGTGGGGTAATGGAGTGTGCGGCATTTTTCCAAATGGTGTTGCTGGACCATCTACATCGCCAAATGCATGGGTGGCGCCAGAGGAATCGCTGGGTGATCAAACCCGGTCAGTGGAATTGCCGGTGTTGGGCCTCGAAGCAACATCGCTGGCGTTTGGTGACTGGCTTACGACGCTGGAGCCGATTGTGTCGGAGATCAGCCCGGGAGCGAGTCAGTGGTGGCAGTTGACCTTGAAGAGCGTGTCCAAGGCCTATGAGGAATGGCTGACGGCGGATCCGCTCCAACGACTTCGTCTGGGTCCTGTCTGTTTGGAAGAGGCGAACAAATGGCCTCGTACGGAACGCAAAATGTTGAGCCTGTTGTTGCAGGTTGTGCCTGAGAACGTCAAGAATGAGGTCGTGACGACTAGGAAGATGACGGTCGCTCAGGTGTTGTTCATCCTCTACGTGAAGTTTCAACCTGGAGGACAAAGTGAACGGATGAGCCTAATCCGAAATCTGACGGAGCTCAAGCTGACCAACAACATGCTGGAGGTCGCCCAGGGCATCCGCACATGGAGGAGGTGGTGGAGCCGTTCGGAAGAACTGGGAGTGATGCTTCCAGACCCTGTGGTATTGGCAGGGGTGTTGGTGAAGGCTTCAGATCACATGGCGAAGTCTGGGGCGCAAGTGGCATACCGATTGGCAACCAGTCGGCAGCAGTTGTTGGTGGACACTCGTCCAACTCTTGAGAATGTCAAGATCTTCGCGGAGCACCTACAGGCCGAGGCTGAGGAATTGTCGATGGGCGCTGGAAATGGTGGAGGGAAGGGATTATCACTGAAGGCAGTGGCGGTCCAACCTACATCAGGTACTTCGACTACGACCTCGACGGGGACAACTGGAGGTGAACTTCGGGAAGGCGGTGCCGGCGATAAAGATACCTGCAGGTTTTGGATGACCGAAAAAGGGTGTCGTCGTGGTGACCGTTGCAAATTCAAGCATTGCAGGTTGAGTCCAAAGGAAAATCGGTGCTTCAACTGCTCAGGCCTGAACCACAGCAAGACGTCGTGCCCGTTCCTGAAGAAAGAGGGAAAGGGGGAGGAAAACGTCAAGGTGGCGAAGGTGAAGGGAGGAAGCGCGGGTGGTAGTCCGGAAAAGACGGACGCTGGTGGTGCTGGGGGAGAGGAAGCCAATGTTTCATCTTCATCCGGGACAAGAACATCGATGGAGGAAGTGCCTACTGTGGGAAAAGGAAAGCCTGGTGGTGGTGCTCCCCATGGAGAAGAGACTATGACTTCTGTGGGCGGCTTGGTGGAGGAGGCCTCGGCTTTGTTGAAGTCACTCCAAAGGGCACGACTCATGGCGGTTCAATGTAAATCGTTGGAGCCTTCGTCTATCGTTGATGAGGGAATGGTTGACAAGGTTGGCCTGTTGGACGGTGGGGCAACACATCCACTACGACATGGGTCTCGCAAAGAGATTGAAGAGGCGGAAGAGGTCCCGGTGGATCTGGCACATGGACGGGTGTGGCTTCGACAACATCCGGTGACGGGGACCATTTTGGTGGATGGGCATATTGAACCTATCGTTCCAGTGAGGGGGCTGATCGATCTTGGCTATAAACTACAATGGAGCCGCAGTGGATGTGTGGTGGTGCACCCCAAACGGGGAAAGATCTCTTCATGGCTGCGGGATGGCTGTCCTGTGGTGGCTGAGGAGGATGCTTTGGCCCTCATCGCGGACATTGAGAATGCCGAGCGGAAGAAAGTGGAGGACTTGAACCAAGAGGAGAATCTGGATGGGGACATCATGATGTGGTGGCAGAAGCGTTTCCCGCAAGTCCCAAGCCGAGTGTTTCGCTACATGTCGGAAGCTCCAGACAACTCATCAAGTCCATTGCCGTGGAACAGAAGTGTGAGAAGACGACTGCAACAGTCAAAAAAGATCCTACTTCACCTCTATGCAGGGGAGAAGGCGGAGGAATGGAAGGATTTGGAGGCTCATGGCTGGGACGTGATCACCCTGGACATCACCAAGGGGAAGGACCAGGATGTGCATGGACCAAGACTATGGGGCTTCTTGACAGAGTTAGCCAGAAAAGGGGCCATCAAATGTGTGGTGGGAGGACCGCCTTGTCGCACTGTTTCTCGTATGAGGTTCAAGAGACCAGGACCGAGGCCACTACGTGATCGTGGAGAAGGACGTTTTGGACTACCTCATCTTAGTGCAGGAGAACAGCGCTTAGCGGATCATGACACTGCCCTGGTCCTAAAACAGCTGGGGATATTCTACATGGCGGAGGAAGCTCGACTACGCTATGGCCTGGGAGAAGAACCTACCGGGTTTCTGTTGGAAAGCCCTGAGGACCCGGGAAAAGACAAACTGGGAAGTCAGATGCCGTCGTTTTGGAGCTGGGAGGAACTTCAGGATTTGGCATCTGAGGAGGGCATGAATATGATCAGTTTTGATCAACGTCCCATGGGACACTGTCGAAAGAAGCCTACGAGCATCATCACCAACTTGCCTAACATGCTGGAGCTCCAAGAGCTGAGAAGTCCCGCTGGGCATGATGAACCCTTGGCAGACAACCTGAATGACCGGATCGATCAATCCAAGTCCTGGGCACTATGGGCTCCGGGCTTCCGGGCGGCGGTATGGGCCTCTCTCAAGATCTACCTGGACAGGTTGGTGCAACAGGGTCCTCGGATTGCCAAGGCGCTCAACGCGAGGGAGAAGGAACTATGGGCTCAACACTTCCGACAAGGGCACACACCTTTTCGACGGGATTGTCGGTTGTGCGTCGAACAAATGGGGGCACAACGACCGCATCGGAGGAGAAAGGAGGGGCACACTATGACTTCCTCGTGGTCTATGTCGGTGGATATCGTGGGGCCTTTACCTCGAGCGAAGGATCTGGCAACAAGTCACTACATGAAGTATGCCTTGGTGGCTGTGGCGCTGGTTCCGGACTTTGGCAAGGACAAAAAGGAGACCGTGGGAGATCAAGACGCTCTGGAACAGGAAGGGGCAGAGGGTGATGATCAAGGGCTACCAGAACAGGAACACCTTCAACGAGAAGATGAAGAACCGGGGGAGGTGGACCTGGAAAAGGAAGAAACACCGGAGGAGGAACGATTTCAAAAGGAGTTGGAGGAAAGTCTTAAAAGTGTACCAGTGAAACGCGTGGTGCATGTGGAGCCAATTGCCTCAAGGGCCCAGGATGAAGTGGTGACGGCTATGCAAAAAGCATTGGCAGGATTTAAGGCGATGGGCATCTACATCAACAGGCTGCACTCCGACCGGGCCAAGGAGCTCATCTCAAA